TGGTTCTGGCATACATGTGTCGCCACGCCTCGTCGTGTCGTCTAGTTCGTGCGAGTTCCGCTTTTTGCCGTTGACTGCCCGCTGCTGATCGACTTTTTTTTTTGCCGGCCGCAGATGACTACCTGAACACGCGGTGCAACGAGAACCTGCTGAGCTGCCTCGACAGGGTAAGCCCCGCGGGGCCGACGTTCCCGGGGAACGAGTGCGGCGTCGGCCAGACGGCGTCCGTCGTACGTGGGGTCATCGAGTCGGCAGTGCTCGCGGGCAAGATCCTTCACAAGCGCGACGACGGCCAGTAGCCGGCGTTTCTTGCAGGAGCGGGTCCGACCTGAGGCTCTCGCGGTTGGTACTAGGAACACACGTAGTAGTTGTTGGAAGCAGAGCAATAAGTCCGTGGCGGTGCGGCAAGGCAGCATGTGCTGGATTGAAGGTCATGGACAGCCGGACCACCGTGGCATGTGGCTGCCTTCAGTGTAAGCATATACATACATATTGATTATTAGCAGTATTTGATTGGTGGGATTCCCAGCGAAGTGGCAGAGGTTGTAAGTTGTAATAATGTAATTGTACGTTCCTTTAATAATTAGTAGCAGTGGACAGAATACAACAAGATTCGGTCATTAACAGTCCAATTTCCGTGTTGTCCGGCGTCAAGTGCAACTCTTGGACCGGATGCTGTACGTCGTTTTTGCTGTGTACACACCATTTGCGGTCCTCTTCCAAGTGGAGTCGTCTTCATCAATGAGTTTCACGTTCTTAACGAGGCCCCCAAGTTCAACAAATTCCGCCATGTGTTGTACAGTATCCATCCTCCAAAGGCCTCTCGTCTAGCTTTGGTTCAACAATTGAGACTTGACAGCTTCATGCGGGGGTTTTTGCGTCGGGCTAAGGGATAAAGGTTAGGGGCGATGCCAATTGGCGCATGACCATCCATCCATGGGTCCTGCCAGAACTTTGCCTTATCTCGTCGCCCGACCTTCACTAAAGTGCTAGCCCAAATCCGTGGCGTCACAAGGCGATGGGAATCCCATCCATGGCCTTGTGCTGTCAATCCATTCAAGCCACAACCATCTGAGATACAAGACACGACTGAATCTCTCAATGTCAAGAATGCCCAAGCCTCCAAGAACCTTTGATCTTGAGGCTTTAGTTGATTGCACTATGTAGCGTTCTCCGTTGGCGTTGTCTGATCCTTTCCATAGAAAATATCTCCTAATCTTATCAATTCTTTTGATTGCTCACTTTTTTAGTGGAAAATTGTTTGGAAGTGCACGGGATTAGTCGTGAGCATCGTATTAGTTAGCGTGAGTCTGCCATGTTTATCCAGCAGCTTGCCTTTCCAAGTTGAAAGCTTTGATCCAATTTTATCAATTACTGGCTAAATGTCAACATTGTGCGACGGCTTGTTGTGTAACGGTAAACCAAGATACCTGCAGGAAAAGATTTTTCCTCACACGGGAGAGGCTCCATGATGAAGTCCAACAAGTCAAGTCCCTGGCATTGTATGGGGTAAACAACACTCTTGTGTAGGTTTGTCATGAGCCCTGAGACCTCTCCAAAAGTATCTAGGAGTAGCTTTGTGGTGCAGTCGTCTTCACATGAGGGGTTGATAAAAATCGCTGCATCATCCGCATACAAGCTTAGTCTCAATTTTACTCCTCTCTGCTGCACAGCAGATATCGTATAGGGTGCCATGTTCTACAGCGAGCCCAAGATTTTTTTTGTAGAGGTTCAAGTGCAAGGATGAAGAGCAACGGTGACAACGGATCTCATTGGTGGAGGGCGCGAGCCCGAGACCATCTGAGAATCAAGCACTTCTAGAGCCATTCAGGGAAGTAGTTGTGGTAGATGTTGAGAGCAGGATGGACACCCAATCTTTCCACCTGCTTCCAAAACCCATTCTCTGCAAAAATTTCCATAAGAAAATCCCACCTCACCAGGTCAAAGGCACTACATTTTTCAGATTGATCAACATGGCAAAGGTTAGATCACAAAAGATGCAGGCATCTATGGGTCGTCAACTTTGCCGAATTATAATTGACAACAAGAGCATCTACTAGAAAATAAAACACTAAAGAGAAACCATAGAATATTTAAATGACTTCAAGCTAGGCACTAGATAATATAGCATGATTTTAGAAAAAAATACAAAATTGGTTCCATTTTTCTCCATAAATTTTCTAAACAAGATTTTTAGAACTTTTAATAATTGCACAAAAAATCCAGAAAAAGATATTTAGATATTTTTTGGAAAAAGGTTTTTGTATGATTTTCTATAATGTTTACTTGACCACTCTAAACTATCATTGCAGTTCAATTTACCACATTACGGTTGATGTGGCGCACATGCATGATGATTGATGTTGCTCCACATAGGCTAAAACTACCATCTAAACCCAACTAGGTGCAAAAACAAATGGTTACAAAAATAAGAAAGGCCAACATATGAATTTCTAGGCTAGGAAGGGAAATCGAACTCAAAGATATTACTGAGAGGATAGAAATGACTTTTTCCTATGCGAATTGATATAAGCATTGGGTTTCTAGTTAGACACTGGGCTGCTGTAGAAGTTTTTGTATCAATTTAGAAAACGTTCATTTGATCTCCCTCGATTATTATCGAAGCCTGATCCTCGCCTGCTATAGAAGTTTTGCATTGAATTAGAAAACGTTCATTTGATCTCCCGCAATCATTGTCGAAGTCTGATTCGCCTCACCAATCGGAAAATTGCTTTCTAACCTCTTCCAAAATTATGAAAGGGTTTCATATTTATCTAAGCTAAAACAAATATTATATGAATTTTCTAAGATTAAATCAATTTTGTGGGTTTTAGTTGCATTATTTAGAAAAAAATATTTGGATAATCTTTAAAAAATTAGTGGCATCATGTAAGATTATTAATGTGGCGTCATAAACCATCTAGACAACAAATTTGAATGGTTTCAAAAATTAGGGGATGTCAAAAAAGTGTTTTTCGCTTGAGGGGGAGAAATCAGACTTTGTCCTAACTTGGAGAATGTCAAATGCACATTTTCCTGTCGATTGAATTCAAGCGCAACGATGGGCTACAGCTATGGATGAAAACGGTACGGATATTTATTCGACCGTCCGTTCGACCGAACAAATATGAACACTTATCTGGATAGTTACTCGGATATCCAGTTTTTTTTTCGGATACGGATACTAAAACGGATATCTTAGGCGGATATCAAATACGGATGTAATATCATCGATATCCGGCGGATATCGGATAATCCGGATAAGTATCGGATATATCCGGATATTTAAAAATGGATATTATCCGGATATTTATTCAAAATTTAAAAATCACAAATTTGAACCATCCAAACTATCTCAAATGGAAAGTTGACCAAAACAACAATTGTAGATCTTGATGAGTTGAACAAACTTGGTATTCAAAACTTTTCAATTTGAAGTCATTTAGAGTTCATAATACTAGAGTCAAAGTATTTTTCATTTGACCAAATTTGACTTGGTCAAACTTGCTCAAATGAGACACTAAATGACCTCAGATGAAAAAACTCTGAATACCAAGTTTGATCATCTCAGCAAGATCTACAATTGTTACATATCTCATTTTCCCATTTGAGAAAGTTTTATCAAACACTAGTCATAAATTCTTGAATCTCATATAGACTTTCTGAAACTATGTCACACACTTGTGAAATTTGAACTATATTTTGTTCAAACTTTCTCAAATGAAAAAATAGCCTATATAAGGATTGTATATCTTGATGAGATGAACAAATTTGGTATTCAAAACTTTTCAATTTGAGACAATCTAGGGTTCCGAAAACTAGTTTGTAAACATCGAAATTTAAAAATCACAAATTTGAACCGTCCAAACTATCTCAAATGGAAAGTTGACCAAAACAAAAATTGTAGATCTTGATTAGTTGAACAAACTTGGTATTCAAAACTTTTCAATTTGAAGTCATTTAGAGTTCATAATACTAGAGTCAAAGTGTTATTTTTTCATTTGACCAAATTTGACTTGGTCAAACTTGCTCAAATGAGACACTAAATGACCTTAGATGAAAAAACTCTGAATACCAAGTTTGATCATCTCAGCAAGATATACAATTGTTACATAGCTCATTTTCCCATTTGAGAAATTTTTATCAAACACTAGTCAAAAATTCTTGAATCTCATATAGACTTTCTGAAACTATGTCACACACTTGTGAAATTTAAACTACATTTTGTTCAAACTTTCTCAAATGAAAAAATAGCCTATATAAGGATTGTAGATCTTGATGATCTGAACAAACTTGATATTCAAAACTTTTCAATTTGAGACAATCTAGCCTATATAAGGATTGTATCTGTATCTTTATCTTATTTGTTGCTTTACTCTTTAGTCTTTCGGCTTAATCTAGATGGATTATGGACTCATAGAGTGGTGTAATGGTTTGCGCATGTGTGATATATATATATATATATATATATATATATATATATATATATATATATATAGCTGTTTTTACTTAATATCCGAATAGATATTTGTATCCGACCTTCTCCGAATCCGATTCATACCGTATTCGATACTCATTATTCGTATCCGTAACCGAGTCAATCCGTATTCGTATATGTATTCGAACGCTATCCGTGTCCGAATCCGAATCCGAACAGAAATATGAAAACAAATATAATATGAGTGATATCCGTTCGTATCCGATCCGTTTTCATTCCTAGCTACAGCCTACAAAATACCCGGCCCACTCTGCCGAAGCCATACCACCCCACTGTCCCACGCCCCCACGCCGGCACACAGCGGGAGTGCGGGACGCCGGGAGCCCGGGACCAGGAACCTTGGGAGTAGAACGAATCCGAACCCTCCGTCCGCCACCGGCTCCATCCATCCCGTTCCATCCCTCGCTCAAGCAGCACGCTGTCGTCTCGCCCGTCTTCTCCCGAGCCCCGCCCCGACCCGACCGCGTCTTCTCCTCCTCGGCTCGACCCCTCCACCACCTCCATGGGGTCGTCGGAGGCCGACGAGGACCAGCTCCTCAAGAGCTTCCTCGCGGAGGTCAGCGAAGCCGAGCGGGACAACGAAGTGCTCAGGTCTTCTTCCCCTCTCTCCCTTTCTCATCTTCTCCACGGCGGTTCCCTTTCGTTGCGAATCACCGTTGCGCGTCATGTAGCTTCAGATCCCATTCGTTTCGGGTTCTTCGTCTCTATTGTGCGGCCTAGTGGATGTAGCAATTGGCTGGGCGCCAAGTCTCGCTGAGATTTGGGGAACCCTTTAGCTCGAATGAACCCTAGGTTGCGTTTGTACGGTCGTTCGCTTGTTCTAGTTGCCTCTGTACTGTGCTAAGCGCGTGGGATTTATTGCTTAACCGTTTTTTGTTGTTAAGTGCACCAAAATTATTATTTATTTTGTTGCTGTGGAAATCCGTGGTACAGGAAATTGGCTCCTGCCACTTCCTTATGCAATAATTATATCCTGGTATAGCCATAGAATACACAGAATGTGCGGTTTTGAGCGGTCGTTGGTGTCTGAGTTAAGTAGCAGAGCGTTGGAATTGGAATTGTTCAAGTTTGGTTGGCAGGAACTAGACCTTGCCAGTTGGATGACTGACCTAATGTTTGAATTTAAAGTTAATCTTTTCTAATTGTCTGAATGAATTGTGGATTCACATTGTGAAGACTGTTATGACCTCATTACCTCAATGCTTTTTTTCTTGTGAATTGCCATTATAGAGTTAAGTAGTCTTATAATATTATTCTTGCAATCCTTGTTTAGAAATCTTTCATGCCTAGACTACCCTGTTTTTGGAAAAAACGTAACACCAAGTATTGAAGAAAGAGTTATACATGAACCTTCAACTTATACAATGATGCTTTTTTATTATAAGTTGAAATTGTACAGTGATATTTCTTTGCAACAAAGATTCAAAGTTTGTAATAGCAGGGGTATATGGGAAATAGTGAATATTTCAATTGAAACAAATGGATCAATTGAAATGTCATGCTATTTGGTTATTTCTTCTCAACAATATTTCCCTATCCTGACACATCCTAAATCCTAAATTTATCAGGATACTTGGTTGCTTCAAGTTAAACCCCTTCGAGCATCTTAAGTTGTCTTTTGATTCATCACCAAATGAGGTGAAAAAGCAATATAGGAAGGTATAAAGACATTGATTTGATATTTATCAATTTTTTTCATTTGATTTATTTTTTGTGTAGATCTAATATTTTTTGTTTGACGTGCTTTCTGCAGTTGTCATTGTTGGTCCATCCTGATAAATGCAAGCATCCTCAGGCACAAGAAGCTTTTGCAGGTACTCAACCTGTTCGCTTGTTGGTTTCAGCCGGGGCCAGCCAACAGTGTTTTTCTCTCACAACAAACCAGCACTAGCCGGGCTTATCAGCCCAGAAACCAACTAGCGAACAGGCTCACTGAAATGAGCCAGTAACAAAACTACTGGAGCACATGAGAAGCAAATTGCTACAGTAATTCATTATATTGTCATGTTGTGGAATGATATCACATGACATTGCTGTAAGGCATATATGGATTTGTTTTTGAAATATGATTTGTACAATTTATAAACCATCAAGGAACATATGCCGGTTGGTAATTCTATATATCCTTCAAATCGGAGTAAATAAATAACTTTGAAATGGATAACATCAGCATAACTAGACTTTTAAATTTTCATGTTGGGGGAAAGGGGCATGAGTTCGTAATTCATACTAGAAAAGAACTGGAGATGGATTTAATTGGATGTTACCTGATATCCACAGTTAGGCACAGATTAACTTTTCAAATAATTAAACAACAAAGAAATGATATTAGAAATGGGGTCTGTGCATTTTTAGTTTTGCTCATTAAGATAGTAGTGCTAATAAGGTGTTAACCTAGGATTGCTCATTTTGAGTATTCCTGTATGACTTATGGTTTTCTAGAGAAAAGATCTTGGACCGTTGCATTACCTCTGCTTGTAAGATCTGGACTTCTGTAGTTAAATATGCCAAAGCACCACTGAAAGTGACCATGTTTGAATGGTATAGCTCTTTTCCTTGCTTGTTGATATATATTCACTTGATGGTATAGCTCTGGCAAAAGCACAACAGCTCCTGCTTGATCCACAGGAAAGAGGCTACATTCTTGACCAAGTTACTGCTGCAAAAGGTGTGAATTGATTTTTTTTGTACACCTTATTGACAATAACGATTTAATCAAATGAAGTAGAGCTACCATGAACTAAACAAAATTTTATGTTCCTTTGTGTTGAAAAATACAGAAGAATTGAGGGCAAAGCGGAAAAAGGAGCTGAAGAAAGACAGTGCGTCCAAGATAAAATCCCTCGTAGATGAGGTAAGGCAATCTTATGGAAGGTGATGTGACTTTTGATTGGACTTTGCATTCTTGAGAAAAACATCTATCCATAAAGAAAAATATTCCATGTACCTACACATGGTTTTTATTGATTTGGAGAAAGCTTATGATAAAATACCAAGGAATGTTATGTGGTGGGCTTTGAACAAACATAAAGTCCCAACGAAGTACGTCGGGCTCATTAAGGACATGTACAACAATGTTGTGACTAGTGTTAGAACAAGTGATGGAAACACGGATGACTTCCCGATTAGGATATGACTACATCAAGGGTCAGCTTTGAGCCCTTATCCGTTTGCCTTAGTGATGGATGGGGTCACAAGGGACATACAAGGGGACATCCCTTGGTGTATGCTTTTCGCGGACGATGTAGTGTTAGTTGATGAAAGCCGGATAGGAGTGAATCAGAAACTGGAGTTATGGCGGGAGACTTTGGAGTCCAAAGGTTTTAGACTTAGTAGAACTAAAACTGAGTATATGAGATGTGACTTCGGCACTACTACTCGGGAGGAGGAAGATATTAGTTTGGAAGGTCAAGTAGTGCCTAGGAAAGATACCTTTCGATATTTAGGATCAATGCTATAGAGAGACGGGGATATTGATGAAGATGTTAGCCATAGAATCAAAGCAAGGTGGATGAAGTGGCGCCAAGCATCTGGTGTCCTATGTGACAAAATGAGTACCACAGAAGCTAAAATGCAAGTTTTATAGGACGGCGATTAGACCTGCTATGTTGTATGGTGTAGAATGTTGGCCTACGAAAAGATGACATGTTCAACAGATAAGTGTCACGGAAATGCGTATGTTGCGTTGGATTTGCGGTCATACAAGAAGGGATCGAGTTCGGAACGATGATATATGTGATAGATTAGGGGTAGCACCAATTGAAGAAAAGCTTGTCCAACACCGGTTGAGATGGTTTGGACATGTCCAACGGAGACCTCCAGAGGCACCGGTGCGTAGTGGAATCCTAAGCCAGGATAGTAACGTGAAGAGAGGCAGAGGAAGACTGAAGTTGACTTAGGTAGAGGCAATAAAAGGAGTCTTGAAAGGATGGAATATACCCAAAGACTAAGCCTTAGATAGGAGTGCTTGGAAAACAACTATTCATGTGTCTGAACATTGATTGCTTCTGCTGGGTTTCAATTCTAGCCTACCCCAACTTGTTTGGGACTTAAAGGCTTTGTTGTTGTTGTTGTTGTTGTATCTCAAACTTCGTTTGTTGAAATCTCTAATGAATGCACAATGCATGTGATCAGCGGTTTCATTTTGCAAACATCATCTGCATGGTTCAGTAGTTGGATATTAACAAAATATTATGATAAAGCTCGGCTCTGCGAAATCTTTGATATATCTTATTGGATTTCATGCTTCTTCCACAATTCAGAACACCTAATGATTTGCTTGCATATATGCAGGGGAAATATGAAGAGCAATTTGAACGATCGGATGAATTTCAGAAGCAGTTAATAATTAAAGTACGTGAAATTTTGACGGAGAAAGAATGGCGTCGGAGAAAGATGCAAATGAGGGTAGAGTGTTTTTCCCCAAATGTTATCATTTTTGAGAAACAAATTTGTCGGATGAGCTATATTCATGTGGGCATTGCACAGATATCAGAGGAAGAAGGAAGACTCAAGAAGGATGAGGAGGAAACAAAAGAGATGTGGAAGAGGAAGAGAGAGCATGAAGAGAAGTGGGAGGAGACCAGAGACCAGCGGGTATGTTTGCAGTCTATTCTATGTTCAAATTTCACAATGTTAGCTATGCTTGCTTTCTGTTGACATGTCAGTACGAAGTTAGGTCTATGTACTCATACTGAAAAATGTACCAAAAGCTGGAAAGGAGGAGGATCATGATGCATAACGCAGTACTGCTCGTAGATGTTTTGCATAGTAGCTGATACTACCTCAAATGCTACCTTTAGTCCCTGGATTTTTGTTACCTACTGCCCTACTCCCTCTGGCCACAAACACATGTTGATTAGGCCTAGATTTGGTCAAACCTTAAAAATTACAAACATCAAATAACTATTACACTATTTAGTTTGGAAACACCCAAACGTGTTGGTTATATGTATGGATCTGTATTAAAAATACTTGCAAAATCTCTTAAGTTCAAATGATTTTCAGAATATATTCTAGAAGAAATTAGTGGTAAAAAAAAGATATGCATTGAAGACTGGAAAGTCAAATGTGTCAAGTATTTTTTACCAGAGGGAGTATTTTTCTAGTGACGTACTACTGCCATTTCTGACTCTTCATAGCATGAGGTGGTTAGCGTCCTTGTCATTTGGTAAAACATTTGAGAAATCTTCATCAATACTAATTCCAAGGCAATAATGCAAGGTTGAGGGATCAGAGCACTTTGTTACTTTGTGAATACTTGTAGCCTAACCTAAGTGCATCATAGAGTGGCCATAGATTCAGAGATGCATTCATGACTTGAGTTACAGTGATTTTTCTGCATTGTCACTAAGGTCGTGCTCACGCCATGAAGTTCATTCCCTGTGACCTGTATATAGTGCAGCTATCTTTGCTCAAACGTACCAACTGCTTAATACAATGGATTTTGGGTCTGTAGGTCTCCAGCTGGAGGGATTTCATGAAGACAGGAAAGAAGGTTAGAAAGTGTATATGGCAAGTAGTAACTTCCTATTCATGAATTTGTAACGGAAACTCCTTTCTGCAGGGACGGAAAGGTGAAATCAAACCTCCAAAACTTAAGACTGAAGATCCGAACAAATCGTATGTGCAAAGGCCAGTAAAGCGCAATTGAGAAGAATGATATTGGTGTCAGCAATCAAAAGACAACTGGTAGCGACTAGCGATCTTTCGTGTCACCAGATTCAAGCAGCAACCCTGCAATGTTGCGCTGGCCCTGAATGCGGTAAGGTTCAATTATGCCCGCTGGGCTCTAGTGTAGTCAGTGAACAGAACAGATTTTACACGTATTGCTACCTAGAGTGATTTGGGTTGATGTACTCATCAGTCTGAAGATTTTTACTGGAAAGAAGTGCAAAAATTTTCCCGTTGGAAAAGAACCTACTGAAGTGAATGTTGACAGGCTCGTCTCTCTTTTACTGTTTTGTTTCATTGTAATGTAATGTAAGTAATGCTGATATATGTACATCGTTTGTCATCATTGATGCACTTTTCACTAGATGCCGATGTAGAGCATAGGCTGGCGGCTGCCATGATTTGTGAATGAAAATTGACCGTGCGATATTCCGAAAAGGCATGTACCAGATAAGGTCGATGTACTCTTGAAGATGAATAGGAAGGTGCTCAGTTAGTATTGGCATTTGACTGACTGCACCCTCGAAAGTCCGTACAGGAACATTACACTACCATTGTCAAGACTCAAGATCTACTTAAAAAAGGATGTAATCAGCGTGATCGGAACAGATAGCTGCAGCTGCGCAAGGTATAGCTAACAACAGTATGACACAGCAATAGGGAATTAGGGATGCAACTGCAGATAGGGCCATTCATGGCCTCATGGCCGCACGACCCGACCAATCTGACGATTGGATAGGTTCAGGCCATGATTTCGACTCGTCACAATCTTTGAGGCAGCACAGGCTGCAATCTTAATCTAAGACTTAAGCTAACACGAAATCCGAGAAATAATTCAACCCAACTCAACACGTTCGCCGAGTGAGCGTGGCGTGTGGGATAAAAAAAAGTTTGACCCAACATTAGACTAGGGTCGGGCTTGGGCCGACCAGAGAAACGTCGGTTTTTTTTGCCCACCCTGACGTTTGATAAGGTATGGCTGCAGCACAAGCCGAAGCTAAGCAGCAGAATTGACACCATCTGTTACATCTGATGCTGTGGGCTTGCTTAACCCAAGCGCTACAGTTCAATTCGGATTCCTTTCCTCTACAAAAGATGGGCCTCCAGAAAGGTTAAGAGAGCAAACCCCAAAGTCCTAGTCTCCCAAACCAACACCTGTGCTTGAAGTTATCTTATCGGTCATAGTATAATATTTTTCTCTCGAATCAGCGAACAATACTTTTCAGCTTGACTTTTCAGCGAAACGAACAGGAAACGAAACGCAATGATTGATTTGTTCGCCATCCGTATTCCGTACACGGTACACATACCCTTGCATGATTAAGCTGTACCACAAGTATATAGGACTCCTAAAACTAGATGACTATAATAATATTGTGGTGACGGTGGTGTGGTGTCCGTGTCCATGTCCATGCGTACGTACAGCACAAGTTGGCCAACTCTTTCGTCTAGAAACGTTATCACCTGTAGGGCCTCCATACGTCCAACCCGATGACAGTCTGTTAACTGCCCAGTGGAGACAACGCCTCGCTCCTGCCTTGTCCCTGAAATTATTAAAGCCCTTTTGTGCGAGCGAGACGGGCACTGGCCATGCGTCGCCTTCTCCCGCTGTGGGCCTCCCGCAGACGCAAAGCCAAGGCCATCAACCCATCGGTCGCGCGCGTTCGTCACGCCGGGGCCCTCACTCGCGTGGACGTGTTATTAGAATTAGAAAACACCGGCACCGACCCGCGCACGGGCGCGATCGATGGTTGGGCTCCGCCTCGCGTCACCGGTCGCCCGTGACCGTGCGACACAGACACAGGGGCCGCTGGCATCCCGGGCTCCCGGCCGGGTGCGCCCCGCCCGCCCAGTCTCCCGGGTGCTGATGCTGTTGGTGGCCCAGCCCCGCGAGTCCACGAAGAAGCAGCCGCCTGCCGGCCGCATTCCACCTTCCACGAGACCATGCACGAGGGTGATGTGAGCAAGTGAGCAACCGGTCGTCCAGCACGAGTTGGTTGGCTTGCTATATGAGATCGATGGAGATCACCGGAAATTGCACCGCATGCATGCAAAAGAAAGAAAAGGCGCGAATTATTTCAAAGCTTTTCTCCCGTAGTGTCGAATGATTTGCAGCTTTGCTCACACATGTCAGGTGCCGATAAGCTGCGTCATGAGCAAGTGGGCGTTCAACCTTGTTGCATTTTCCGTTTTCAGTCTGCTTTCGGAAAGATGGTGGGCTCGGAGGCGAGGTAGTCCGCACTAGGGCGAGGCCATGGACTTATGCCACTGGTAGCTTTAAAGGCTGATCGAGTTAATGGAAAATGATGTCTTATGCGTTTTGTTTATGGAGTATACATCAACTGTTAGCCTCTACTCCACATACCTGGTTGCTTAGCTGAATGCTGATAAAGTCATTTTGGGAAAATAGGATCGCTAACCTAGCTTTAAAGTTTAAAGTACTTCAGCAAATAGAAGTGAATCAATACTTTATAAAAGCTTACTCCCAGTTGCCGAAGTTGCTGTAGTGCGCGCTGCTATAGTTTAGGTTTTTTTTTTGAAAATTGCTATAGTTTAGTTGTGCTCACTGATGCGATCCTAAGCGAGTTGTGTTAGTTATTGTTGGGGTGATTACCTCCTAGTTGTATGGTCTTTCTTTTTGCTCGGTTTTTCTTATATACTACTCTCTCTATTTGTCGGTGCAGAAAGTGACCAACACATAAATATTTGTAGTTTTTCTGTACGTTGTGATCGGATGTGGCCTAGCACTCAATGACACAGGGTTTATACTGGTTCGGGCAACGTGCCCTACGTCCAGTTTGAGTATGTCGGTGACTTTATTACTGAGTCCAGGTACTTGAAGTTTGCTGTGGGGTTACAAACGGAAGGGAGAAAGATGGGGGTGCAAGAGGCCCGGTCGGACTCTGGTCTGAAGGGCCGAGAGTGACGGGAACTCCTACGCGCGCTGAGTATTTGAGCATGTGCTCGAGGTTTGAACCTATTGGTTCTGCTGTTGTGTGTGAGTGAACTCTGAGATCTCCTTGTTGGGAGAGAGCGCATCCCCTTTTATAGATGAAGGGGACGGCCTTACAAACCAGAGAGAGAGTACGTATGCTACTAAGTCTTGTTGCCCACGCCGTCGGGTACAAGATGATTGTAGGCGCCCATAACACTGTCGATGTCAGACGCATGTGTGAGGTTTTTACCGTGTTCTCCATGTAGGGCAAATGACGGCGCCTACAACACTGTTGGTGCCCAAAGACATGTGGGGGCAGTCTTATCGTGTTTGTCATGGTGTGGGAATTGATGGCGCCCACAACATTGTAGGGCAAATGTCGACGCCCACAACACTGCTTGGGTTCTGACATGCCTGGGAGGTTGCAAGGCACCCTTCTGACATGTCCTGTCGGTTACTGTCCTACAGGTGTGTAGGGTACAGTCCTCGGTATTACGATTGACTTGATTGCCCTGCCTTACTTTCTCCGTCCGTTTCCTGGTCCTTACCGAGCGGGCGTCCCCGGTCGGTTGGTCCTAGTCGGCTCCGACTGCGCCAGTCGGAGAAGAGCTGTAAGTAGGGGTTTGGTGCATCCCCGGTCGGAGACGCGGGCCGGAGTCAGAAGCGAGCGATGTTCCTCCTTGGCTAGGCCTTCCGGTCGGAGAGGCGGGCTGTAGTTGGAAGCGAGCGTTGTTTCTCCTTAGCGAGGCCTTCCGGTCGAAGATCGGATCGCCCTTCTGGCCTGTCGTTTAGGTATTTGGGCCGGCCTACGAGTTGCGCATCGTTTGCAATGTTGTCTGCTGGGCCGAGCCTTTGCTGGGAAGCCGGTCCATGAGGGACCCCGGGTTTATGAACCCGACAGGAGCCCCCGAGCCCCCGCGCGATTCGGGTAGAATCGTCTGGGGGATTTTTGTCTTGACGGTGGGAGCGAGTGAGCGCACTTGTGGGTGTAGCCCCCGAGCCCCCGGGTGATTCGGGTAGAATCGTCTGGGGGGTTCTTTGTGTTGCCAGCGGGGGAAGTTTTGTTTAAATCGGCCGTGCACGTGAGCGCACCCCGGTGTAGCCTTCTAGAGCCCCGGGCGATTCTCGCAGTACTAGGGGTTTTTGGGGTTTTGTCAAGCGCTTTTAGGATCGGCGAGACAGAGTTGCGGATCCTGGGATCGGGCGAAGCTGAGGCAGTTTTAGAGATCGGGCGAGACGGAGTCGTGGATCCTGGCGTCGGGCGCAGCCAAGGTAGTTTAGGGATTGGACGAGACGGAGTCGCGGATCCTGGCGTGGGCCGCAGCCGAGGCAGTTTTAGGGATCAGGCGAGACGGAGTCGTGGATCCTGGTGTCGGGCGCAGCTGAAGCAGTTTACGGACCAGGCGAGACAGAGTCATGGATCCTGACATCGGGCACAACCGAGGCAGTTTAGGGATCGGGCGAGACGGAGTCGCGGATCCTAGCGTCGGGTGCAGCCGAGGCAGTTTAGAGATCGGGTGAGATGGAGTCACGGACCCTAGCGTCAGGGGCAGCCGAGGCAGTTTAGGGATCAGGCGAGACGGAGTCGCGGATCCTGGCGTCAGGCGCAACCGAGGCAATTTAGGGATCAGGCGAGACGTAGTCGTGGATCCTGGCGTCGGGCGCAGCCGAGGCAGTTTAGGGATCGGGCGAGATGGAGTCACGGATCTTAGCGTCGAGCGTAGCCGAGGCACTTTAGGGATCGGGCGAGACGAAGTCGTGGACCCTAGTGTCGTGCACAACCAAGGTAGTTTAGGGATCGGGCGAGATGGAGTCGCGGATCCTGGCATCGGGCGCAGCCGAGGTAGTTTAGTAATCGAGCGAGATGGAGTCGTGGACCCTGGCATCGGGCGCAGTCGAGGCAGTTTAGGGATCGAGCGAGATGGTGTCGCAGATCCTGGTGTCGGGCGCAGCCGAGGCAGTTTAGGTATCAGGCGAGACGGAGGTCGCGGATCCTGGCATCGGGCGTAGCCGAGCCAGTTTAGGGATCAGGCGAGACGGAGTCG